TACGTGCATTTACAATACAAGTATTAAATGGAAAATACTAAATTATTTATACGAATAATAAACATAGAAATACTATTAATATGAATAAATATTTAAAAAACAGAGTATAGCCCCCCGGTTATACTGTAAATTTGAAAAATATTTTTTAAAAACGGAGTCTAGCCGACCGGCTGTACTATTAATTTGAATAAATATTAAAAACCGGAGTATAGCCCAGCGGCTATACTATTAATTTGAATAAATATTAAAAACCGGAGAATAGCCCATCGGCTATACTATTAATTTGAATAAATATAAAAAACCGGAAATCGGCTATACTATTAAAATATAATCACTAATGAAAGTATTTAAACATGGCTAAGATATTATTTAATGAAGAAAAAAGAAATTTTTAAAAGGATAGCCGCTCGGCGGTACTCTTTAAATAGAATTTTAAACGTATAGCCGCACGGCTATACTATTTAAATATAATATTTTAAAAGTATAGCCGTGAGGCTATACCATTTGAGTAGCATAATCTTGATTTCTCTTTTTTGATTAGTATTTAAATCTGAAAGTGCCCCAAGGCCAAAGGCCCAACTTTTTGACAATTATATAATATTCAATGCCCAAAGTGATTTTGAAGCCGAATTTGCTGCTACTTGGCCCAACTTTCATTTACCAAATGTGGGACTTCAACACTTACAAAGACCTCACTTTTTTTTTTTCTACCAATGTGGGACAAATGTCCCTGAATTTCATTCAAACTTTCAACAATAAGTTTATAACATATGTGTTATGTTTAAAATTCATTATTCACAGTTTTTAGAGTTTATATGCATGTTATAATTTGAGTGAATTCGTAACACCGCACCATCTTAACATTTGTTTAAAATGCACAAAAATGATTAGTCTTAAGAGAACGAATGAACATTTGAGTATGCAAGGGTGGAACCATAAATTTTTTAATGGGTGGGCTAGCTAAAGTTATTAGCTTAAAATATAATGATAAATTTTTTTTGTACTTACATTTTCTATAGTTTTTCTAGAAATAAAAGTATACATTAAATCATATAAATCACATAATTGTAAACACAAGGAAAAAAATTGAAATTAGAGCCATATTATTCGTGAGAGGGTGAATTTCATTTAGAAAAATGCTTTTCTTTTGGAGACAAATTAATAGAACACCAATGTGGGACAAATGTCCCTGAATTTCATTCAAACTTTCAACAATAAGTTTATAACATATGTGTTATGTTTAAAATTCATTATTCGCAGTTTTTAGAGTTTATATGCATGTTATAATTTGAGTGAATTCGTAACACCGCACCATCTTAATATTTGTTTAAAATGCACAAAAATGATTAGTCTTAAGAGAACGAATGAACATTTGAGTATGGTTGCCTCTTCCTTTAGTTCACACCTTTTCTTAAGTAATGCCAATCACTAACACTAAATTTTCTGTCTTTTTCATTTTAAAACTGTCTTAAATTCTTCACTTTCTCTCCTCTCTATTGTCTCTCAAAAGGAGAACCCACTGGTGTTTCAAGTTTCGACATATGCTTTCCAAAATTTCAATTTCTGCGCATGCGATTGGTAAAACTGTTTTCATGGTTTTCAAGTTACATGGCTACAAACTTTTTAGTGCAAAGTTTGAACCTTTTGAGGCCGGCCTTGTGGATTCTTTTAACTAGTGGACAACAAGTGACAATTGCCTTGGTACCTTTTGATATTATTATTTTTTCCATTTCTTTAATTGCATGCGTTAAACACATCTTTTAATGTATTTATACTTTATCTTTTTTTATTCTTTTTTGATTTTTACTTCAATTTTTGCTCACAAAATTGATTGGTGCCTTTGGCTACAATTTAAGGTCACAGAACCCCAACATTAAGTACAAAAATGGTAGTATAATAAACATTTTGAGATCCTTTGAAGATTTGGAATTTGGTATTTTTGATGGCTACTTGTCACCAAACCACAATTTTAATGACAAACTATATAAAATTTATAGATAAGGAAACCGACTATATGGCACCTTCAGAACCCCAAAATCTTAAATCAGATTTAGAGGAGAGATTTCATAACATTTTATTTTATCGGTGGATAAGATTTTCAAAAGAATAAAATTTAGTGATGCATTTCCTGCATGGTTGCATGCCATGTGCAATATTATTAATAATTAGGGTTTTGTTAACGTTACTAGCATAAGATATTAAGTCACTATAATTAGGTGAGCATGATTAGGCGACATGATTAAGAGATTAATTGTCCGTGGTTATCCAAGTTACAAATCTTATGCAAAACTTGCCATTTTTATATGCACCTAGTTTTCCGAGTTTCTGATATTTAACCTGCTAAAGAGTATTTGTAAGCTTTGCAATAGTGCTTAAAGATTTTGAAAGCTTTGCAATAGTGCTTAAAGATTTTGAACTTCTCCACCGATTGCCAATTGATTTTAAGTTGGATCCACACACTCTAATGCGGCATAATTAAGCAATTTTCACTTCAAAGTATTTAGGAAATTATATATGATTTTATTTGTTTAACTTATCGAATATATGTATTCAATTTGTTCATATCAGAATGTAAGTTGAATTGGTTCGAAACCCTGGTGAGAGTCGCCTCAATATACTCGATCATCGCATGTATAAAGAGTCATCAACTTGTTTTTTTTTTGTCTAAAACCATAATTAGCATCTTAAGAATCAATAATATAGATGAAAGTCACGTAGTAGTGAGTTGCCTTTTTAATATCCAAAACAAAAGTACAGAGGTTGCCATAATTATATATTATTATTAGTAGTAGTATTATTAGTATTATTATCAAGTTCAACCCTCCCAAAACCAAACCAAACAAATTTTATTTCATCCTAAAAAGCTAGTGACCATGTGATGTAACGCTTGTAACGCCCTACTTCCTAAGTTTCATTGAGCCCTGCATGGTGCCCATTTGTTCTTATAATATATCTTCTTTTTTGGTCAAGTTCTTATAAATATAATCTACGAAGATTCCCTTTCTAGCCAGCTCAAGCATCTTGTTGCACATCTATATATATAAGTGTAACCACCACCCTAGCATAAGACACAATTTCACACCCAATTGAGTACGTCAGAGAGAGAGAGAGAGAGAGAGAGAGATGGGAGGTGAGCTATGTGCAACAATGGGAAATGGGTTCTTCATAAGAATAGGCAAATCATGGAGCCAGTTGGAGAAAGGATTAAATGATGGAGTCTCTAAGAGCAAAGTTGGCAAGTACTTCAAGTTAGAAGCAAGAAAGAGCTGTTTTACTAAGGAACTACGTGCAGGCTTAGCTACTTTCCTCACCATGGCCTACATCATCACCGTCAATGCCACGATCATTGCCGACTCCGGCGGCATGTGCTCCATCGCTGACTGCTCCGCTCCGGCAAACCAAACAGCCACCGCAGATTGCATGCTCAAGCCGAATGAAGGGTACCAAAGTTGCCTCTCAAAAACCAAGAGTGACCTTGTTGTTGCTACAATTGTATCAGCCATGATTGGGTCAATTGCCATGGGTGTCTTGGCAAATCTGCCCTTGGGTTTAGCCCCAGGCATGGGCCCAAATGCTTACTTGGCTTATAACTTGGTGGGTTTTCATGGAACTGGAAATATGTCTTACCAAACTGCACTAGCTGTGGTTCTAGTTGAGGGATGTGTTTTTCTTGCAATTTCCGCGTTTGGGATCAGAGAAAAGCTGGCCAGGCTTATCCCTCAACCTGTTAGGCTTGCTTGTGCAGCAGGAATTGGCTTGTTCATTGCTTTTGTGGGCTTGCAAATCCACCAAGGTGTTGGCCTAGTTGGACCAGACCCATCTACATTGGTCACCATCACAGCTTGTGCTAATACAAACCCACAAACTGGTGAGTGCCTTGGTGGAAAAATGCATAGCCCAAAATTCTGGCTGGGTTCTGCTGGGTTTTTAATTACATGTTATGGCCTAATCAAGGAGATTAAGGGTAGCATGATATATGGTATTGTCTTTGTTACACTTATTTCATGGTTTAGGGGCACACATGTGACAGTTTTTCCCAACACACCAGTTGGTGACACAAGTTACAATTACTTCAAGAAAGTGGTAGATTTTCACAAAATTCAATCCACGGCTGGAGCTTTTAGCTTTAGCAACTTCAATAGGTCTGAGGTTTGGGTGGCTTTGGCCACCTTGCTATATGTTGATGTGCTTGCCACCACAGGCACATTGTATACCATGGCTGAAATGGGAGGGTTTGTGAATGATGAAGGAGGCTTTGAAGGTGAGTACTTAGCATACTTGGTCGACGCCGGCTCGACCATCGTGGCGTCCGCATTGGGAGTGTCCCCCGTTGCAACCTATGTTGAATCTTCTGCGGGTTTGAGAGAAGGCGGACGAACAGGGTTAACAGCAGTGACAATTGGTTTATGTTTTTTTGTATCATTGTTTTTCATTCCTCTGTTGTCTAGTGTGCCTCCATGGGCTATAGGCCCTTCACTGGTCATGGTTGGGGTGATGATGATGAAGGTTGTGAAGGACATAAACTGGGGAAACATGAAGGAAGCTGTGCCTGCTTTCATAACCATGCTTCTCATGCCTCTTACTTATTCTATAGCATATGGGATTATTGGTGGCATTGGGCTCTACCTAGCTCTTAATCTATATGACTATTTGGTGGTGCTGCTTAAGTGGTTGGCTAAGATGAGAAGAATGGTGGTCAAAGAACACAATCAAGTGTCTGCTACAGCTGCTGTAGACTCGGCAAATGAAATTATTTGAAGGGTTAGAGGTCAAAATCTAATTTTGTTGACAAAGAAAAGTAGGGTTGGAAAATTCAAGAAACAGCTGTGTACAGATGTAGTTTATCAAATTTTAATATTTCATGAACAACATCCTTTCTACGAAATTTATGCAGATGCTCTGACCACATGTAACAGACAAGAACTACTGTAAAGGCATCTTAACAAACAAAATGCAGGGCTACTTGCTCATGAAAGGAGCACCTAAACTAGGCCGTACCATTTAGAACCTAATGCATGTTCATAACATAAGTGCTGGTTTTGCAGTTCTACATAAAGAGTTTTCTTAGTAGTAATTACGCGTACATACAAATCAAAAAGTGTTGAATCTCTCATTTGCTAATTATCTGGACGGGGCATATGCCTTCAACTCCATTTTCAACCCCAATAACACACTCATCTCCTGGTTGAATGTTGTTTGCCTTGCTGAAAGCTTCCCAACCGCTTGCCAATGTTTGGAAGTAATTTCTTTCAATGTAGAGGACTGGCCACAATCTCATTACTGGGTCTCGAAGGTAAACTACCCTCCTATCCGTTTGAGGCCTTCCTCTATAGGTCATGCGTATTGGCAACCTCATTGGCAACTCCTGCAAAAGTATCCAAGGGAGGCAAAGCCAGTTAAGCAAAACCAAAAGAATACTCGGTATTCAGTCAACAACGATAACATGGGGAAGGTGAATACAGGGTTAGGTGCAAAACTATACAAACATAAAATTATCAGATGTGCCCTTCTGCACATGTATACGGCACGCAATGATAACTAAGTCTTCAAAGTCCCACATTGATTTTTCTTTTTTGGTCCCAATTCCCATATATTGATTAAAAAGTCAAACTTAATTGTCAATTGGTTGATTTTTACAAGATTGTGTCAAACTAGCACAAGTCTGAAGAGATAATATGTCGCATATCTTGGAGAATAGAAACTTTCTATAGAACAGTATAATTATCAGATGCAATTTTCTCACAAAATGAAATTACAGAATTTGGAAGAGTAAAAGATTATTGAAACAAAAGCATGCAGTGAAGGAGGCACCAATACCAACAAATGGTCAATCACTAAATCTATCATATAAAACCAGACTAAAATTCAATGCAAGCAATGCGTACAAGAAGAGACAAAATATATAGAGTGCAAAAACTAGCATGCAAGAAAAGAATGGCTGCCTGCTTTCACCTGACAGGAGAAACTGGATGAGATTAGCAAGGTTATGACTGGATCAACAGGTTCAGATTTTACCACAGGAACAGCACAGTCATTTTCTGTTCTAATCATATTAGAAATCTTACTACACACCGGGTTGACAACCTTTACTGATTCCCCTACATTTAGTTGCATTGTAGTTAAATCAGAGTGGCACACAGCAAAACACTCTCATGCATCCATATGCACAAACACAAACAGAGCTTTCCTTAACAAAATGATGTGAAAGTACAGTTTTACCATTTATTTGTGGAATGATTTTCTGACTGCACGGATCTGAAGTCAACTCCACAGACTCTATTTTAATGGCCTTCATCGCTTTATCTGTTCAACAAATCACTTTTTTTTATCATCAGAAATATTACATAAGATATATCAAATTGTTAAACGGCACTTTGCCAAAAACTGAAAGGTGCCCCAACAATAGTGCAGGGACATATAGCAACTGAAATGAAGACAAGCCAGAATGCTATGAAAAATTTGGGATGCAAAAGTAATGGGAATACCAGTATTTTGGACTTCGGTTTCAGAAGAGTTATTTATCCAACTCCTATCAAACTTGGATGCCTCTGAAGGAATTGCTGCAGTCACTGCTTCTTTAGCCACTGGACTTTTATCAACTGAGCTAGCCTCATTTATCAATCTTAGCAATGAACCATCATGATCTGAGCATGTTTCATCCATTGGAATTGCTGTAGTCACTGCTCCTTTAGCCACTGGATTTTTGTCAACTGGGCCAGCTCCATTTCTCAATCTTAGTAATGCATCATCATGATGTGAGCATGTTTCATCCATTGCAGTTACTTCATTGCTTCCACCAGTGCCAGCGTTCTTTGTCAACATTTCAAAATCAGACAAATCAAAAATATAGGTTCTGTCATCTTCTTGTTTGTCCCCCACGTCTCTATCGAACATACAGATCATTTCTTCAATGTATGCTTCTTTGGGATTGTGCTTTGACCTTTCATTACTATTATCAAGGGTTGAAGCATTTTCTGTGACAATTAGAGCTTTTCCCATGTCATTCATCTCATACAGGTGGTGACCTATATCTGCATCTGAGCCAGACACAACAGAGGTTCTTGAATCCCGTTTGTTCATTGAACTTTTATCAATTGTGTGACTTGGACCAGCTTTGGTATACTTTCTGTTATCCCTTGTCCTTTTCTTCTGATTTACGGCCTCAGGAAAGTTGAGTTTCTCACACCCAGATTTGTCATAAATTTTAACAATAAAATGTGCACTTGTGATGTAATTGAAGACCAGAAATTCTCCAATCTTTAGATCATGGTCTAATGAAAATGCATTCCATCCTTGTTTAAGAGAAAGGGAGCCATTACTTCTGGATATTATAACTTCCCATTGCAGCCCCCGTGAATCTTCAAGAACAGCTTTTTGATTAACCAATGCTGACACAGTAGGAGCAAATTTAGGAGGCAAGAACTGCAACGAGATAATGCAGTCAGCTTAGAAGAGGCAATCTCTAGTTCATCATAGGGGAAAAAGGGGAGTTGCAGAAATCAACATTTCAAAATCAGACAAATCAAAAATATAGGTTCTGTCATCTTCTTGTTTGTCCCCCACGTCTCTATCGAACATACAAATCATTTCTTCAATGTATGCTTCTTTGGGATTGAAAATGATGTGAAAGTACAGTTTTACCATTTATTTGTGGAATGATTTTCTGACTGCACGGATCTGAAGTCAACTCCACAGACTCTATTTTAATGGCCTTCATCGCTTTATCTGTTCAACAAATCACTTTTTTTTATCATCAGAAATATTACATAAGATATATCAAATTGTTAAACGGCACTTTGCCAAAAACTGAAAGGTGCCCCAACAATAGTGCAGGGACATATAGCAACTGAAATGAAGACAAGCCAGAATGCTATGAAAAATTTGGGATGCAAAAGTAATGGGAATACCAGTATTTTGGACTTCGGTTTCAGAAGAGTTATTTATCCAACTCCTATCAAACTTGGATGCCTCTGAAGGAATTGCTGCAGTCACTGCTTCTTTAGCCACTGGACTTTTATCAACTGAGCTAGCCTCATTTATCAATCTTAGCAATGAACCATCATGATCTGAGCATGTTTCATCCATTGGAATTGCTGTAGTCACTGCTCCTTTAGCCACTGGATTTTTGTCAACTGGGCCAGCTCCATTTCTCAATCTTAGTAATGCATCATCATGATGTGAGCATGTTTCATCCATTGCAGTTACTTCATTGCTTCCACCAGTGCCAGCGTTCTTTGTCAACATTTCAAAATCAGACAAATCAAAAATATAGGTTCTGTCATCTTCTTGTTTGTCCCCCACGTCTCTATCGAACATACAGATCATTTCTTCAATGTATGCTTCTTTGGGATTGTGCTTTGACCTTTCATTACTATTATCAAGGGTTGAAGCATTTTCTGTGACAATTAGAGCTTTTCCCATGTCATTCATCTCATACAGGTGGTGACCTATATCTGCATCTGAGCCAGACACAACAGAGGTTCTTGAATCCCGTTTGTTCATTGAACTTTTATCAATTGTGTGACTTGGACCAGCTTTGGTATACTTTCTGTTATCCCTTGTCCTTTTCTTCTGATTTACGGCCTCAGGAAAGTTGAGTTTCTCACACCCAGATTTGTCATAAATTTTAACAATAAAATGTGCACTTGTGATGTAATTGAAGACCAGAAATTCTCCAATCTTTAGATCATGGTCTAATGAAAATGCATTCCATCCTTGTTTAAGAGAAAGGGAGCCATTAATTCTGGATATTATAACTTCCCATTGCAGCCCCCGTGAATCTTCAAGAACAGCTTTTTGATTAACCAATGCTGACACAGTAGGAGCAAATTTAGGAGGCAAGAACTGCAACGAGATAATGCAGTCAGCTTAGAAGAGGCAATCTCTAGTTCATCATAGGGGAAAAAGGGGAGTTGCAGAAATTACGTATTACTAGTAAAGTATACTTATCATATTTGTGAGAAAAAGAAAAGGTAGTTAAAGCTTTAGCAGGAATTTCTCCACAGTCTACTACATTACATAGTTTACATAATTCTAGAAAGAAAAATACAGAGTAATATTGGTGTTTAAATATGGACTTCCAATGGGAATGTCATCTCCACAAAAGAAGAGATACAATCGAATTTGTTTATCATCTCGAAGCCATTAATTAGTAAGCTCATAAAATATATATCCTAGACTAAAAAATAGACAGGGGTAATAGAGATAAAAATGAAATAGAATAGGATTTAGGGGTAAGGGAGGACAATTTATCGTACCAAAAGTTTAGAAAACTGATCTCCAATCATGATTTTGAAAAAAGAGCCAACATCAGGTGAAGCTTTCTTCTTGTTCCCATGATCCAGCAAACACTTCTGAGTGCATTCTACACAAGCTACCTTGCCATCCATCTCTTCTCTTGCTCTGTTGAATACTTTTACCACTACAAGAAATAAAACAAGATAAATTACTACGGTATTCTAATGACACAATAATGTCATTCAAAGAAGGGAAAAAGAAGCACAAACCCAAAGGAGATTATTTCAAAGAGCTCAAGAACATAATAACTAGCATGCAATGCTTAAAAAATTTAAGGGTTAACTGCGGTTTTGCCCCTGAACTATCACAAAATTGTCAATTTTCCCCTTGTTACTTTTTTTTCGGTAAATTAACTAAATAAGAGAGGTCAATCTCACCCTCACCGTTAGAATTTTGAACTCCATCCCATTTTCACGTGAGAAAGGAAAAAGGTTTTAGAAAGAAAAAAAAGCAGTTAAAATACAAAATTAATTTAAAAAATATTTAAATGTAAAAAGAAGTATCCAGCAAAGCAACCAACAAAACCCCAACCCCTCCCTCGCGGGACTCCCTCCCCCACCCCCTTCCAACCACTACAAAAAATTCTTGATCTCCCTTAGACCTCTCTGTCCTTCTCTCTCTCTTTCTCTCTCTCTCTCTCTCTCTCTCCATGTCACACGTCACACTAAAACCCCAAAATTTGAAAACCCATAACAGATACAAACATAATATTAATATGATATGAAGAAGAAAAAAATGCCTACAAAATCCAGGTTTTTAATAAGCTACAAGGATGCAAGGAGAGATTGGAGCAAGAGCATCAAATTTTTCGAAACGGGTCGAAAGATGGAACCAATTTAAGCAACATAATGAACAAAAAAAATATGTTGCACCTTAACAGCGTTCTTGAGCAAAATATCATCCTCATCAGGAATGCAAGGAGATAATGGAGCAAGAGCACCCACGGAGAGAGATTGTGTGTGTGAGAGTGAGAGAGAGAAAAAGAAGACATAGAGGTGGGAGGGGGAGGGAGATCAAGAAATATTTGTGGGGAGATAACGTTCACTAACAAATAATTTTTTGCAAGAACAAAAATAAGCAATGTAACCTTCAAAGCTTCACGATCATGACTAAAACAAACATGTATGGTACCAGAAAACCAAAAAGGAACTTTCTTTCGCTTAAAGTTAGGACCTTTTTCACTAAACAAACACGATCCTAGTATTAGTATAAACATCCCTCATTCTAGTTAGCAAAGGACTTAAATTCACTAACAGATAAATTTTTGGAAGAACAAAAATGAGCTAAATTGCGAAGCATACTTACCACCAGTACTAAGAAGCTCTTTCGAAAGAAGACTTTTTGAGTGATTTTGGGTTCAGTCCTCTCTGAAAAACTTTGTCTTTGAAAGGTCCGGCAAGGGCTCAGCTTGCCAGTCACCAGTCACCAGTCACACTCATTATAAACTTCTTCTTCTTTTTTGTTTTTGTTTTTGTTTTTATTTTTGTTTTTAGTCAAGTTAACAAAAAGTCAAGGCATTGGATTTGGGTTTTATGCAAGCCCATGAAACTGGCCCAACTCAAAATGAAAAGCTTAAACCACAAGAAGCAATGTGGTTCTGCTCCTGTTATTGCCTGCAATGTGTCTTTGCCATTATTCTGACCAAAATAGATGGTTCTGATTGGAAGCAGAAAATACCTACTCATAACCACTCAACCAAGGCAATGAAAGCAGTCAAAGGGCAAGTTTTAGAAAGTCAAAAAAATCAAACTTTTAAGTCGATAATCAAAACAAATCAACAAATCAAATTCAAAACAGCAAAAGTAAGACCAAGTCTATCTGCCCCTCTCACTGTTATTATATAGAGTTTGATGAAGATTAGGTTTTGATGACAGGTTTGTCCCCTTGACCTCACAACTTCTTCTAGGCTCCAAAGACCATTCTTTGCAAAGACCCAAGAATTTTCATTGCATTTGTGAACATAAGACCACCAATTCTCTTGGGTTTCTTTACTTTCCTTTCTCTTGATCATCTCTCTGCCTCTCGCTTTGTTTCTTTTTTTTTTTTTTTTCCTTTGAAGGTTGAAAATTTAACTAAAAAGGAGTGTGAAATGTTGGATTATTACGAGCAGCTTGCTGCTAGTCCTTACAATGATTCTCTTAAGGTTCTTGAGGCTGATATTCAGCATGCCAATATGCTGTGAGTGCAACCCCCTTCCTATTTTTTCCTTTCCAATTTGCCTTTTTCTGTTTATATTGTATTTTGAAACTGGGTTTGAGAAACATGAAATAAAGTTCTAGGCTTCCGAGTTTGTACTCTTAGTAATGTAATGTATTTAATGGTTTTTCTTCCATATTCTACATTTACTATTTTGAGGTTGAATCCTACTCTGCAATAGCGCTTGGGTTTCTATTTCCTTATTAATTTTGGTTTTGGTTTTGATGGATTGTTTCTGCAAAAAATAATTGGGGAAGAGAGAGAAAAAAGAATATAGTTATTTTGCATTTCAGTATTTTTTTTTTGTTCTGAAACTAATATCTATTTGGGTATGGACATAATCTGCATACAACGCCTTTTGTTCTCCCTGTCATCGTTATGCTAAATGAATTCCAAAATTTGTTGTCATGTTGACCCCAATTCACAAGCTTTGACCTTTATTTGGATAATGAGCATGCTAGGAAGTTTGCAAGTCTTCTTTACATAATCTTGGATATATACTACTGGATTCCCCCAGTTATTTTATCATTACATTCTCTGCTGACTATACTAATGTTGGGGGTTTGCTGAATATTTGCAATCTTAAAAGTAGCCTGAGGTTCAGTCCATGGTTTTAGGAGTACGACGTCTGGTTCCTTGCTTACCTTGTTTTATGAATTTGTTGCTGACCCTTCGAATGTTTTGCTGAGTTAATAGAACTTTTTTTTGGTTGATGAAGTAAAGTGACTTTTGATGTTACTTGAATAAATATATGTTTGCAGGGCAGCTTCCATCCCCAGACGCAAGAGTGGTACGGTTCTTCAAATGAAATTGGTTTACAATCACTTGGCACCCATTTTCCTGTTTTTGCTTCAATGGATTGATTGCTCCTCTTCATGTTTACTTTCAAGTTACTTAAATCTTTTCCACATAAGTGTATATAAGGTTGGTTTCTGCTTGCCGGTTCATTTGTTTCTAGAGCAAATTAGTAGTTTAATGTTTGTCCCCTCGTAAGAATGAAATCCAAGTTCTTGAATGTTTCTGTGTTTGCTTTCATATGTCTTCAGGTGCGCACAGATGGGAGGTCAAATATCTCTTCATGTGGAAGGAAAGCTACCATCAGCGAATTCTACAGTTTGTAAACCATATCTCTACTCTTTTTAGTAGTTTAATATCTGTTGAAGATCCTACTTGAACAATATTGATGCTTACTTAATAGCTTCCCTTCTTTAAATGGATCTCATTTTGCCTGCTGCTTTCCAATTTTCATAAAGAATTGCATTTGGGGTGTAGCCTTTCTGCTTTTAAACTTTAAATGTCATCAAACTTTGCGTAATGTTACATGCTGCGGCGTTTGTGAAATTCATCTTTATTCATGTCTTCCCAACCTAAAACTGCAGATGTTATATTACCATCCCTTCAGCGTCTCCATGGTGATTCATTGGAGATGGATATCACCCAAGAGGAAGCTCTAGAGATGGCTGTTAGGAAGAGATATGAGGATAAGATAAAGCTTTCAGATGTAGACTTGGAGAGAGAAAATGAGTGTGGCATCTGCTTGGAGCCTTGTACCAAAATGGTTTTGCCAAACTGTTGCCATGCCATGTGCATTAATTGCTACCGCGATTGGTATGAATAACCTAGTTCTTCCTTAATCCCCAAAAATAGTTGTTCTTCCTTTTTCTGCTTTAGTCTCATCCAGTATCACCATATGATTATGGGGCACATTATTTATAACAATTGTCACATATTTGCATCTTTATGTGTTATAGGAACACAAGATCGGAATCTTGCCCGTTCTGCCGGGGAAGTATAAAGAGAGTGAATTCAGGGGACTTGTGGGTTCTGACCTGCGGCAGTGATGTGGTTGACACTCAAACTGTGTTGAAGGAGGATATGTTGCGGTTCTATCTTTTTATTAACAGCCTGCCAAAAGATCTCCCGGATGCTCTATTCTTAATGTATTATGAGTACTTAATTTGATCAAACATGCTAGAAAAAAATGGTGTATAGAGAGAGAATTGCCAACCATCACATGTACAGAGTCCGGCGAGGCTTTCACATTGAATTTCTTTTGACTTCACCATGTGCAAAATAATGTACATGCTTTGTGTAAGAGAAAAAATTATATATATCAGAAGAGTCGCTTCTTTTATCATGCAATTTTGATTTTGTGATGGAAAGGCCATCAGGCCATGCGACTCCCATGTTGCATTTAGTGAGGAGTTCATTTGCACAGAGCTCACAATTTTTCTTTTTTAACCTTTGTTGGATGATTAAATCCCATGGCACCAAGAGTGCATCATTTCCTTCGTTGAATCTGATTCATTAGCTTTCGATGAGATTCATTAGCTTTCGATGATAAATATTGGTGATTTCGTAGGTTCAATTCCTCCCGAACAACAAATATTTAGAAACAAGTAAGATTCGATCAATAGTTCAACAAGTAAAATTTTTAGAAGATTTTCTAAATTATGAAAGTCTGAGAAGTGTTCTCAAGCAGTAGTAACTCTACCACCGATTATACCATCCGATTTTTTTTTTCTTTTGCTTCATAACTACAATATACTCTGATCACAAGCAACACAGCAAAGTACTAAAACATTAAGCTGATCCAAAGGCAAGCAGTTCATCCATGACGCAGTTTCATATCCAACAAGTAACTGAAGGGAGGGTGAGTGGCCTTGCCATTGAGGAACATATCAGAAAGCACCTTGTACATGGCTTCAGTGAGATGAACTCCATCCCAGTTTATGTACTGGGAAGGGCTTGGACAGGCACTAGCAGACGGTGTGCCACACACGGCAAACACCTCGAAGTTGTAGGGGTCACCTGTCCCACAGCAGGCCTTGAAGCTCTCCTTGAAACCATACTGGTTTGGATTCTTCATGATTGTGAAATAGGCATTCCAGTAATCAGCATAGGTGATGACAGCATGGGGAAACTGTGTCCTGAGTTGTTGCAACTTGGCTTGGAGGACACGGTTATGGCTATAGGTTTGGTTGTTTGCACTCTTCACACATCCTAGACTGTCTCTATCGTCTTCGGGAGCTAAGGTCATGGCCAATGGCAAGCACCCTGAGAGTGGCAGGCCTTGCACAACAACATACTTTGCACCCTTCTTTAACAATGCCTGCAAAGTAACAGAAACATCACCGTCCAATTAGCCAAAGTCGAAATTGGATCCTCTACTTATGTTTTTAAACTCATATCAAACACAATGTTGTCTTAAGATTTAGAATTAGGATCCAATTTAGGATTTGACATTGAGAGCATATATTGGAAAGCAACCTAAATCCAGATAGCCAAAGTCCTACCTGCAGAAAACTAGTAACTCTACTGATCCCAAGCTGTTGAATGGTATCACTTGGTATACCAGATCCAATGGTATAAGCATAGTCATTGACCCCAATTTCACCAACCCAGAAAAGTGCATCATCAAAAGCTGCTGCTTTGCATGCTGCTCCAGCCACTTTGCAGCCCTGGCTTTCCAAGAACTTGTTAAACCAGAGGAGCTGGGTTTGGATAGACTGAGGAGTGATTGCAAGGCTCAGGTTGTTCTTGACAAAAAACTGGTGCTCTATAGCTGTAGAGCCAGCAACAGCAAAGTTAACCCCATGAGCAACATCTGTAGCATTGCTCAATATGGAACGGTAAGGTTTCAAGTAAGGCAAGGACAGTGACTCAGCAATGAAATCGATCACTAACCGCCCGTCGGAGTAGCGGTTGGTAGGGCGGTGAAAGAAAGTGGTGCCATATGGAGGGTTTGAGACATGGCCAAAACCACTAGGGCCTGTGGCAGATTTTGTGTTGCCTGTGTCTGTGAATGAATCACCAAAGGCATAGATTTTCTTGAAGGGGCTTGGTCTTGGGTTTACTTTGGTTGTGGCAGGAGAGGCAGAACAAGAAGAAGAGGAGAGGATGAAGATGGTGGTGATGGCAATGAGGGTGTTTTTCCAAGAGAAATATGTGACTGAAGAAGAAGCCATTGTCTAACTCTTCTCAAGGCTTCCAAGCTTAACTCACTATCTAGCTAGCTTTTCACTCTGCATGTATGTACTCTGGCTTATATACTTTTTACCTTTTTCAAAATGGCAAATATGTCCTCCACCTAAATGGATGGAATTTCCAAGTAGCTTTTTGGCTGTCATCAATTTAGTTTAGCTCAAGAAAGGCAAGTATGCATATAACTTGGTAAATTACTGAAGGAGTCTTAAAAACTCTGTATGTACTGCCAACATAAGACTGTCCATGAATTATTAATTAGCAGTAACATATAATTTATGGATTAATTAAGCTGGAATAAGAAGATTTATCCTTCATAATCCAATATACAACAAGAACCTCATACATTCATTTCCTTTATGTTAAAGACGGTTAAACACTGTGAAAGAGATGTTTAAGGAGAGCAAACACTGTTTTCTTTTCAAATAGAACACAAGTTAAACTTTTCTCTGTTGAAGGGTAGGGAGGTGAGAGTTATAAATTCGGAGCTAAATATCTTGAAGTAGTTGAATGAAAAATAGTTGGGCCTTAAATGAGCAAGTGTCCACACCCAACCTCTTTTTCTTTCTGCAGATTTAGAGAGAGGGAGAGAGAGAGAGAGAGAGAGAGAGAGAGAGAGAGAGAGAGAGAATAATTTTCTTTATTCTTTTGCTTCTTTTGAATTCACCAGACCGTCGGTGCTTTGATGCACATCCTTAAATATTGCAACCACCTCTATGACCTTGCCCACAAGAAAACATAATTTATATAGCACGCTTTTGCAGATAGCTGTGTTAAATGATAGTCATGGACAGATTCAACGAAAGCCATAAGCACAGGGCATGTAGGTAGAAGAAGGCATGGTATTCGACTCTAGCGTCTGTAGTCCACACACATAGTAATTATGTGTCGTTGATGCATGTAAGACTTATAATACATCAACATCATACATTATAATAGAAAATTTGGCATAAGTCCAATTATGAGGAGAGATTTTGGGTGCAATCCACGCAAACATTGTTGTTGATTCAAGTCCTTTGACTTTTGCGCCACATAAGATTACATGCCTATTTCAATTTATTGATATTTACTTCTTTTTATTTTTTATTTTTTGTTCCAGTTATGCACCTAAAACATAAATAAGGTAAATTATGAATTCCTAAAATTGGTAATTTATTGATTTGTAGGATATTAATTATCATATTTGATTTGAATTTAATTACAAATCTATTTATTGAATTCTGAAATTTTCCCAAGGCATACCGACATCAAAATTTGTAATAAGAGTTCATAAAAACTTCATACCTTAACAATAGGTAAGGTACCTATGCATACACCTCGTATGCAGTATGCAGGTAATTAAACCCATAAATTAACTCTGGTCCAGGTAATTAAATCCATAAATTACCTCTAGTCTAGGTAGTTATA